GAGCCACTTTAACCTTTTTTGTGTGTTTATTTTTTGAGACAGTCTTGCTCTGTCACTCTGGGTAGAGTGCAGTAGTATCATAGCTCACAGCAACCTCAAACTCTAGGCTCAAGCAATGCTTCTGCCTCATCCTCTCATAATGCTGGAATTATAGGTGTGAGCCATCATGCCTGGCCTATTTTGACCTTTTAAAAGTAAGTTGCAGCATGATGCTCCTTTATTTTATTTTATTTTTATTTTTTATTTTTTTTTATTAAATGACAGCTGTGTATATTAATGCAATCATGGGGTACGGTGTGGTGTTTTCACATATAATTTGAAATATTTTGATCAAACTGGTTAACATAGCCTTCATGTCATTTTCCTAGTTATTGTGTCAAGATGTTTATATTCCACTTTTAGAAAGATTCACTTGTACCCTTGTAAGATAAACCATAGAGGTGATCCCTCAAGTCACCCTCCCTCCGCTCATCCACCCCCTCCTCTTCCCCTCCCCCCCCTTTTTTTTTTTGAGACAGAGTCTCAAACTGTCCCCCTTGGTAGAGTGCTGTGGCATCACAGCTCACAACAACCTCCAACTCCTGGGCTCAAGTCTCCTGCCTTAGCCTCCCAAGTAGCTGGGACCACAGGTGCCCACCACAATGCCCAGCTATTTTTTGGTTGTAGCTGTCATTGTTCAGCAGGCCTGGGCTGGATTCGTACCCCCCACCTTAGGTGTATGTGACTGGCGCTTTAGCCACTTGAGCCATAGGCACCGAGCCCCTCCCCGTTTCTTCTTAGCAAAGTATCTTAAGAATGGAGGAAAAAGTATCCAATGTACACAGCCCTATTATGAAACTAATGTATAGCTTTCATGTGAAAGCTATAACCTAATTATTTTATTTTATTTTATTTTATTTTTTGAGACAGAGGCTCACTTTGTTGCTCTCGGTAGAGTGCTACGGTGTCATAGCTCACAGCAACCTCAAATTCTTGGGCTCAAGTGATTCTCTTGTCTCAACCTCCCAAGGAGCTGGGACTATAGGTGCTCTCATGCCCTCCACAATGCCTGGCTATTTTTTAGAGACCGGGTCTCATACTTGCTCAGGCTTAAACCTGTGAGCTCAAGCAACCCACTCACCTTGGCCTCCCAAGTGCATAAGCCACCCTGCCTGGCCTCGTGATACCTCTTTAAATTTAGGTATTTCAATGTGTATTTGCTAAGAATCTCTTTTTTTTTTTTTTTTTGAGACGGAG